GTAATCAAACTTGATTTGGGCAAGTCTAGCTAATCCATAACTTATTGTGAACTCAAAAATCAGTGACAACGTATTTTCAAAGCAGCAGAAATTCTTGCTCTTGTACTAACCGGTAGACGATATTGTAGAAGGGTTTCCCCCGTTCAATGAAGGGGTTTCACGGTATTTATCCTGCTTAATTAATCGGAAAAATGAATCCAGCGATATTAAGTTAAATAGTCTTTCTTTACAATAATACCGATCCATATATTTACTGAATCATGTTTTGGAATTCCGACTTAAGAATGGCTGGGTACGGTACCTACAGTACCAAATACTAGATCAGTTTCATAATATTTATCCTGTTTAAGTAATCGGAAAAATGAATCCGGTGATATCAAGTCGAATAGTCCTTCTTTACAATAATACTGATCCGTATTTTCATTAAATTATGCTTTGAAATTTCGACTTAAGAATGGCTGGGTACGGTACCTACAGTATCCAAATACTAGATCAAATACTAGGAATGTTCTGATTATCTGGCTAAGGGATCAGGTCTTGACACGGGCCAGATAAAGGATTGGGCTTGACTGAAGCTTGGACTCAGACTCGAGGGAAAACCGCCGATGAGAATTTCAACAAATGATGGCATAAATCTGTCGATGGATTTGCTGATAAAAATATTCTTTCGGATAATAAATGAATGAATTAATGAAGAGATGCGCAGTTTCAGGTGGTTTGAGTGCGTCGAATTCGTCGTCAGCAATCGCCCCAATGGCCTCACCGTCAAGACGCAGTTTTCTGTCGATGCTTTTCAGTCGATCACACAACAAAGACACTGAAATTCGCAACTTCTTAAGCGGGTAATCGCTTTTTTTTTCTGGTAATTTTATATTTTAGGTTGATAAAATCAAAACGGCATTTCGTTCACATTCGCAGTTGAATATGTCACGTAGTTAGAGCACAACAAGAAATGATTTTCACACGAACGAAATGCCGTTCTGATTTTACCAACCTGAAATTTAATAGTACCGCTTTTTTCATTTGATTAAATATCACATCAGTAATTGAGCAGAGTGTCCAAAAAATTCCTCTTCGTGAAGATATTATCGTAATAAGAAAACTATTAGAGTACACGCTCTTTGTCAAATAATATGAATGAATAAGAATACGATTAAGTAAAATAAGAATAAGTAAAATCTGCTTCAAAAGAAATATGAGTTTTTGGAGGGTTTTGATCCACAGGTCGAGGAGCCGCTCAGTTCACAGGCACACCCATAAATTATTCACATCGTTTGATCAGATTCCACGTTTGGAGTTTTTAATGCGTATGGTACTAAAATTGATTGATGATGTACTCTCGTTTATTTGCGATTATTATTTATGACACGTACAACATCATACCGGACGGATTGTTTGAGCACATCGTTTTTACATGCGGTGAAACAATTGTACATTCGTTCGAGTGTTTACTTATAGTGTTGTTGTACTTTGATTGCAATCGATCACACTAGCAATTGCGAAATTTATTATGCGGAAATCTTTTTCTGATAACATGCAGTGTGTTAATGTGCTCTTTGCTTGTCAACCATCAGCATAGATCAGTGGGGAATTGATTTGAGTGAATATGAAGTCGTATCTGTTCCATAGATTCGGTCTGATTTCACGTCGCGATTCGTATTTGGCTCGTCAGAGGTGAACATATATTGTCATCTTTTATGGAAGAACTTGCAACTGATTGTCGGATAGAAGGGCTTTCTAAAAAAGTCATCCAAATTTTTGCAAAAGGACATTTCAGTTGTAAAACGGAATTACTCTCTATTTTTAGTTATATCGTAAGGTTGAGTTTGCTATGCGTTCATGTGTACAAGAGCCTTAGCTCTAGGGCAGTCATTGATTTGGAAAGATATTATATGGAGTGGTCATAGTTATCATGAAATTGATGAGCGTTGTGATGATTTAGTTTTAATTCTTTTTTTCCGTATTGTTTATAACTGGAATGAATGCGTGAGAATTTCAGTGAAGGCTCAATAACACAAAGCGCATGGCAGGAGATGGGTAAAGAGAGTCCTCTGAAAGTTCGTTTGAAAACAATCGATCAGTTACGAGGGGTAAGTCCACTTGATTCACCAAATAATTTCATTTTAAGGATTTGATTTGGATTTTTTTAATTGATTTTAACGAATTTTAAGAATTGTTATCATTTTTTCATTTTAATGAAAGAATGATAAAAATATCTTTCTTTTTTTAAGTAAGTGGATTTTTAATTTTCGTCATTTTTAAAATTTATCACTTATCATTCATTCCTAATTTATCATTTTTAATCTTTTTTATAATGAAATTGTCGTAGCCATTCGTTTACGAAAAGTTTTTATCGTAAAAAAATTCAATCTGTAGCCAAATTACGTGCTTGGGTCGGATATAGAGTATGGTGTGGCTTGTAATCTGGTGTGTCATGTGAAGGTTTTACACGAACGAATAAGTTGTGTGTTGTATAAGTGATTTGGCATTGCAGGTTCTGCAGAATCGTCGATTGCAATTCAGCACGCTTGAAGCGATTTATTTGGAAACAAGCGATTTGTTAGAAGTGGAAGATGCAAAGGAATCCGTGCTGAAAATGTTAATCACACTAACGAAACATCAAATCGACCAGATCGGTTTAGCACTTCGCGATACTTTTTTTAAGGTTCGGTTTTTTGAAGGCTTATTTTGTTAGTTGTTGTTTGTTATATATCAATATTTGCAATCGTTTTTATTTCGGTATTTATCATTATCGAGTTTATATAGTAACATTGATATTATGATCAATAGATATGTTTATTGATTAGACGTTCACATTAATATTGCAAAATAATTATCTTCTTGAGTGCAGATGCTAATTATGGTTATAAGTTATGGAGTTGATTGCGTTT